CCCTAAAGACCCTAAAGACCCTGAACGCCCCAGGAATCCCGAAACCATCCATACGACCGTCTCCCCGCACCCCTCCCCCCCCGGATCCAAAACTCCAAAAGCCTCAAACCCCTCTGAGACCTCTGTGCCCCGCACATTGAAAATCCTTTAGCGGTTTGGGGTCTGGGTTTATGTGGGTGGTTTTCAAAATTAGGGTCTCTTTTTGGGCAGCCTAGATATTAGGTGCCGTATAATATTAGGGGCCCAAAAAGGAACCCCAGTTTTGAAAGCCACCCATAGAGGGGCCTCAAAAATTGGGTTAGGGTTCCTTTAAATGGTTATAAGGCGTCGCAGCTTTTGGGGCGTGGGGTCTCTAGGCGTCCTCCGGGCTTCGGCGAGAAGGATGGCCCGTAATGGCCCAGGGTATTGGGCTCCTAGACCCCTTCATCAAAATTGCCAGGGTTTATGGTTTAGGGTTTGGGGTAGGGTTTAGGGTTTAGGGTTTGGAGCTAAAAATCCCACTAGATGTGGGAGTTTCCGAAAATTAGGGGCACCTTATTTTGGTGTCCTTATATTAAGGATCCTACTATTTAGGGCACTATATCAGGGTCCCTTTTTTTCGGAAACTCCCATGTTGAAAGCAACAAGACTAATCACTTGTCAAGCTGTTGCAACCATGCAGGATTCGCGAAAAATCTCGCCTAGGTTCCCCAGTAGCGCCTTAACAATAAAGCCCCCCTTTTTCCCACTGCTTGGTTGACATTCAAAAGGGTAGTACTGGGGAACCCTAAACCTAGTATGCTTGTACGACCCTAATGGAACCCTTACAGAACCCTTAAAGGAACCCTTGAAGGAACCCTTAAAGGAACCCTTAAAGGAACCCAAAAGTAGGGCATCCCTGGGTTTCCCGGCACCCATCGGCTGGCGAGCGCTGGAGACCCTTCGGAAACGATGGAGGTCGAGTTGCGGTAGGGTTGAAGCTTTTAGGGTTTCGGGTTTAGGTCTTAGGGTTTAGGGGTTGGGGTTTGGGCTTTCGGTTTAAGATTTAGGGGTGTTTATGAGCTCATGATCTCATGATGGGAATCTTTCGTTAGCAGAGATTCATTTCGCTCAACCTCCTCGCAGGGCCACTGGTCGTGGTCGGCAGCCCTGCGATCGATTCTTTGTCTTATCGATGTGCTGCCACCGCAATGCCGAAAGCATTTTGGGCTGCGGTTTGTCGTCGCCAGTGTTGCATGATGTCGCTTGCGTGTCCGCACAGCGCTGCCGGGTTTAGGGTTTAGGGTATTTACCGCCCGTGCATCGCGTTTCCGCTTGTAGAAAACGTGATCCTGCCACTGTCGCATGCTTTTCCGTGTTCTGGGATGCCAATCGCACTCCCGCCACCACGTGGGACTCATGGAGTGGTCTCGGGACATCTCCTTCAGTGTTTGAAGTCTCTGTGGCCATGCTAGTGGGTTTCAGGACGGAGACAATTGTGGTATGTGCAGATCTCAATACTTTTTCAATGCCCAAAAAAGCATATGCAAAGCCACGGCTCAGAGTTAGGGTTTAAGGTTTGGGGATTGGCATTTGGATCTCATTACTCTTCTGTGTTTAAGGTCTAGGTCTAGGTTTTACTACTGCAAGTAGAGCCTGTGATGTAAAACAAGGCCTAGTGCTTACTATGTTTACTGCCGCGATCTATCAACGATAGCGCATGGTCGCTGAGTAAGGAATCGGGAACTAAGAAAAATTGAAGCTTCCGGACATTACTTACATTGTCCCCGAAGTGACCTAGATCTACCTGTAGCCGAAAAGACCTACCTTTTTAAGGAACTACATATAGAGACCATAATAAGGAACAAGGAACCCTAAAAAGGTTGGTCTTTTCGGCTACAGGTAAACCTTAAAGACTAAATCCTGGATCCCCACCCTGCTTACCTTTGGTTAGCAGGGAATGGAAGAATGGTAGTAATAGTAATTATATTTGTACCCCATTCTTCCATTCCCTACTAACCAAAGGTAAGCGTGAGCCCTGAGTCAGAATATGTTGTTTGAAAAGTTTGCCAGGAACCCGGCTCGGAGAGGGTGTCACGCAACCATTAAACCTAATAGACATTGAATCATGGACAAGAGCCCCTCTATTATCTAAGAGATGTACGCCATTTCAAACACCTACACAGCACACTACGAAAACCTTCTTGAAGCCCATGAAATGCCGCATGGAAGCTGCGATACTGTTGATGATATAAATCCTGCATTACCTTAAGGACCCTAAAGTATGGGAAGTATGGTATATTCCCTATTATGGGTAATGATCATCAAACGTAGAACCCTGAAGGCTCCCTGAACCCTGAAGGCTCCATGTACTTCTTCAAGGAATTCCCTCAAGCAAGTGGTGTTGGGCTCTTCGGGCTTGCAATATCCCTGATATACAAGCCTTAATCATTGAAATAAAGTTTTGGTGCCTTTGGGGTATATTGTACTGTATCTCAATTAAGACTCAAGGACTATACTAAATATTCAGTCCTCTATGTTGCGCGTGCATGGGCTACTGCCAACATTCTTGATTACACCCCAGAGGACATGGCCACATTCTCAGATCCGCAAGAGCCCTATGGCCCTCCTTAAACAAAGCCCTCTTGTTCTTGCTACCCAGAATCCAACAGCCCTAGACACTGGAAGCCTGAAACCGAAAACCTCTCGAAGCCCAACAGCTCTAACGCCTTAACAAAACCCAGAAACTTGTAATACTACCGCTCTCACGCAGACGCAAAATACTTAAAGTCATGATTCAAATCATACTTAACATCAAAGAAAGCACCTGTTAGAGAGCAGCCAAGTTGCTCCCATGCCGCACAGGGCTCCGCGAGACTTCCATCAAGGGCGCGAAGCCATGTCGGTGGGGGCCAGGCGTTAAGCTTTTCGGGCTGAAGGCTTGAGGCTTTAGAGAGGGCGTAGGGTTTTGGATTTTCGGGTTCAGGGGTTGAGGATTTTGAGGGAACCCACACCAATTTAAAAAACCTACCATGGAGTCATGAGGTACAAACTGGAAGTTCAGCTCCTAAGCTTAAAGCTGGATCAGCTCCCAGGGTCTACTTAAAGGGCTCCAAAAACTGCGAGGCTCCTCGTGGTAGGCCCAGCTACGTCTCAGGAGTTTTGGCACGCCAGGTGCAAGCTCAGCCGGAACCACGGAACAACATGTAGTGGTTGTCGTCGTGGTAGTGGTAGTAGTAGTGGTAGTAGGAGTAGTAGTAGCAGTAGTAGTAGTAGTAGAAGAAGAAGTAGAAGTAGAAGTTGAAGTTGAAGTAGAAGTAGTAATCGTCGTTGTCGTAGTCGTAGGAGGGGGAGGAGCCTGAGGATTTGTGGTTGTTGGGGCTTGGGGCTTTGTCGATTTAGGGCTGTGGGTTTTTTGGGGGTCCGAGGACTTGAAAGCTTGGAGCTAGATCCCTCTAGCGGTTGAGGCAAAACAAAAAGTAGTACCATGTTGTGCCATGTTGGGGAGTTCTGCTTTCCAGATCCTCTAAGGAGTTAGTGTGCTTAGTGCTTTGGGTTTGGGGCGCAGGGTTTCTGGGGGGGGTTTCGGCTCGAGGCTGTACTGTATGTTTAGAGATTAGAGTTTAGGGTTTTTCGGTTCGGGCTTGAAAGGAGAACCTTAGGGCAATAGTCGGGAATAGCCCCGGGCACAACCCGCAGCCTCGTGAAGCCTACAACGCAAGCCTCAACCCTCGTCGGGTCTTGTGCAGGCAAAGAGCCCAATACCCCGCAATCAAGGAATATGGCTTAAATCATCATATGAAGCCCTTTATAATTTAAGCCATATTCCTGAGTTAAGGGGTATTGGGTTCTCTGTGCAGGCGTTTTTTGGTTCTGTTGGTAGTTTTACAACATTTATTGCAACAATAGGCACAAAGATTTCCTGGTACATGATACCTGCAGTTTCGGTTGTAGAGGAGCAACACTACCAAGAGTCAAGCTCGCTAGATGTGAGTTGCAGAAATGAAAAGACCCTCGTTGTGACTCATTGTACAAATTCGGATCCTTAGACAAGGACCCCTTTCGCCATCTCACAACCCTTAAACCTGGATCTTTGTCAAGGGTCTTCGGACTTTGAAGCAAGCAACCCTAAACTCCAGACCCTGATTGGTCCAAAGGTCTCGCTCGAAGCAATAAGAAACGGACAACACGATAATTAAATCAATGTGGTTTGGGGTTTAAGGGTTTTGAGATCAATGTTGAATGGCCCTGATACAGGGACCTTGATAATTAGAATCGACTTTCAGTGTATGCTACGGGGTCTACATTACCGACACCCTCAAGGTTCCGACCCACCACGCACCAAATACACGGAAAGCCTGAACCCTAAACCCTAAACCCTAAACCAAAAACCCGGAAAGCCTGAACCATTGAGAGCCCCAAACCAAAGACACCAGCTCTCACTCTGATTACTTAGAGGATCATGGGACTTAGTAGGGTTCCTTTTAGGGCTCCTTAAGGGGATCTATAGGGTTCTTGAAAGGGATCTATAGGGTTTAGGAAGTCTAGGGTTCAGGGTCCACTTAGAGGATCATGGGACTTAGTAAGTAGGGTTATAAGTACCTTAATTACGGTTCTAAGTAGGTATAGCTATAGATACCTTACTCATAACCCTACTGACTAAGTCCCTGATCCTCAAAGTACTCAAAGCGTGTTCCCGCCACCGCTCTTCGGGAGCCCAAGAAACCGTGAAGCAGAAGGATTCCCCAAGCAGAGGTATGCCGAAATCGTCCCTTGAAAGCTATCCTTTCGGGATCCCTTTCAAGAGATCTATGAAGGCTCCTTTGAAGGGAGCTGGAAGGGTCTTTCAGGATCCCATTGAAGAGATCTGTGAAGGCTCCTTTGAAGCGAGCTAGACGGGTCACCTCAAAACGGGCTCCTTTAAGAATGGTAGTTTAAGAAGTTAGCGGCCCCAAGCAGTGGGCCCAAAGTAGTAGGCCGCAATTTCGGAAACGCCATCCGCTATCCCTAAACCCTGACAAAGTAATTACACTAAACAAACCTTAGAAACCAAGAGGGTCCCCTTGACTCCCCAAGTCACAATCTGTGATTTTCGGACGGGATCTGCGGCAGCGCCGGTCCCGCGCAGCTTTGGGCGCTTCGGCAGCCGGCGGGGCAGCAGCCGCCGGTGCCTGAGGGCACGTTTTGTTGGACTCGTTTAGTAAGTAAAACTAAACATTTACAGTACACCCAGAGAGCCCAACACCCCTTAATTAAGGAATATAGCTTAAATCATAATATGAATCCCTATATAATTTAAGCCATATTCCTTACTTAAGGGGTATTGGGCTCTCTGGGCAGGGGCCTTGAGCATCAGCATGGCGTTTCTGGTGGTGTGATCGCAAAGCTATGCAGGAGAAGAGGACATTGTTACTCGTTGTTCAGACCTCTTAAAACTTAAGCCATCTAAAACCCTACTTACAGCGTCAGGGGACTTGATGTGTCGGGCATAAGTAGAGCTTTGAGTGAGCTGGTTAGGGCTATCCTACTTCACACTGTAGTTGAGCCCGACTTGTTATGCGGACTGATCCTGAAGACCTAGAAAGACCTTACAAGCAGCTTCTAAGATTCTAAAGACCTATGCAAACCCTTACAAAAGCAAAACTCTTCAATCACTCTTCAATACCTATGACCCCTGAAACTCCGTTTGCCTCCAGTGCTTCCTGAACCATCGGAGTTGCTGCAACGAGGGGCCCAAAAGACTAAAATGAAGCAGACAACATAACTTCCCGCCAGAGAACAAAACTTCCCGCCCACCCACCCGGAAGACCCCAAAGCAGTGAGAAAAGTGGCTGGATACGCAAGTGAACATATGCGTATAAAACTAAGAAGGAGACATTTAGGGTTTAGGGTTTAGGGGTTAGAGTTTGAGGTTTGGGGCTTGGGGTTCAGGGTTTTGGGGGTTACGTTTAGGGTTTAGGAGTGTCATGTGGCATCTCGCGGCTTCACGTAAGGTGCCTACCTAACTCCTGGATAAGATCCCATCAAGTCCCGAAGGCCCTAGTCCGATAAGCCCAAGCCCCAAACCCCAAACTCTAAACCCTCACTCCTCCACGCTTTCCTACTTGGAGGATCAAGGGACTTGGTAAGTAGGGATAAAATTAAGATAACTAGAGTTAGATCTGCTTATAACATGCATCGGGTACTTATAACCCTACTTGCTAAGTCCCATGACCCTCTAAGTATGCCTCCAACCTCACTCCGGGACAGGGGTCTGATGGTAAATGGCAATGTTCCTTTATAGTCCCTTAACATTCTGCCAACTCGTATTCGTGCGCTGTGATTATGTTAGTAGTTCTCTAGTTCACTAAACTAAAACCCGTCCCAAAGATAGTGCGGCACCTTGTAAAACAAGAAGGCACCCTAGTTTAGGGAACACCCCATGTATGGTTTCGTCACGGCGCTGCTACGTCGTCGACAAAAATCAAATCTCGGGGCAGCTTTGTCCCCACACAGAACCTGAGATTGTCGCACAATTGAGGGCTCGGGGCTTGGAGTGCAGGGTTTGGGATGCAGGGTTTGGGGTTTGGGGTTTGGGACTTGGGATTGAGGTTTAGGGTGTGGCTAGGATCCGCAAACCTTGTAAACAGGCGGCAAGTAAGACATACAAGAGCCAAAGTCAGCGCTATCCTACTTGTACTTCTACGTGAAACTCTGCTTGTGAACGAATTGCTACAAAGTAACCTGAGCCGTGAAGTATACTTTGAACTCTTCAAAAAAAGTGCAGCAAAGTCTACAAGCCCATAAACACACTGTAAAGAAAACCTACTTAAACCCTCTAAATCCCAACATGAGCTCATATGTACAGGGTTTATAGCGTTTTTTGCCATATCATGGTGCTGCTATTTCCTTTCCCTGACATCTACCATAGGGGTCCGCCATTGAAAAGGGCACAAGGGTACTACTCAGGAACCTAGTAATTCAATGTGCCATTTCACGAAATGCCCGTTTTGACGCTCCTGGGACCGTCTTGGGGCACTTAGGGACAAAATGCCCTAAACCCCAAGCCGTTAAGAACCAAAGGGACAAGCATTACAGTGAGCAAAGATGTATCGAAGATAAGGCCTTAAAGGATTCCTTTAAGGAAACCCCAAAAGGAATCCTAAACCCTCGCCGAACCATGCCGAACCCTTATAGCGTAAGGGTTCTACGGGCCTTCGCTAAATCCAAACCTGGTTTTGCGGGCTCCTTCTCATAAATACAATGATCCCCCCAAACCCGCTTCTAATTACGAAGGCCTCTCTTATAGACCCCTTACAGAACCCTTCAGGGGGCCTTTATAGAACCCTTTAAGAGAGCCCTTTAAAGGAACCCCTATTCTAATTATCAAGGCCCCTAAAGCAGGCTCCCCAGCTCTTTTAGGTGCCAGGGAATCCCAGAGTTCTCAACAGGGCACCAGCAAAGGTACTTGAATGGAAGCACCTCCTGATCGAAGGAGGCTTCAAGGCTTTAGGGGCTTTAGGGGTTGAGGGCTCATTTAGGGCTTCAGGGCTTTAGAGGTTCAGGGTTTAGGGCGTAGGGTTTAGGGCTTAGGGTTAAGGGTTTAGGGCTGAAAAACCAAACACATGACGTTAAGGACATAGTTGACATCATAAACAAGGTTTATGGGCAAGAGATTTTACACACCGAAGACAACAAGAATACGTGTGCTTCTGTATCCTCTTGCTTCTGCCCGCACGATCTAGCGTCTGAACCTCTGGCCCCTGTCTGGGTTCTCGTGAAAGAATGTAATTTCAGTTGCCAAAATCAAGGTCTATAGTAAATAGCATGGTTGCCTTATTATGATAACTTTGGGCTCAAGTTTCGCGCTGAAGCTCCTAGATCGGGCCAGTGCCAACCCGTGTAGAACCCTTTTAAACAGGACCCTTAAAGGAACCCTCATAACCCCACCCACCAAGCTAAGTCCCTTGAACCTCCAAGTACGGTCTGTTTCGAAGTAGGGTATGGGGGAATGGAATATGCAGACTATTATTGGGGATTATACAAGGACTACTATAGGGATCCATTCCCCCATTCCTTAACCCCTAGACCCTAAACTCTATATAGATCTCCTTAAGGGGTCCCTTGAAGAGACCCTAAATCCTCAAAGGGATCCATTCCCCCATTCCCTACTAAGCACCAGACAGTTTTGTTCCCTTGTAGTTTCCCTTATAGTATCCCTTATAGTATCCCTTATAGTAGCCCTTATAGGCCCTTTTAAAGGAACCCTACTTCCCTACTAAGCACCAGACAGAGTATGGGAAGAAGGAAAGCTCGGAGTCCTGGTCCGTCTTTCGCACGTGGACACGGCGTGGAATGATCGCCTGCAGCACGGAGAAGGTTTAGGATTTGGGAGATTTCGGGGCCTTAATAATTAGAACACGGTTTTGGGGCCCATTATACTATAGTCACAATAAGGAACCTCCAAAATAGTATAGGTGATTACTAAGGCCCCTATATTACATCCCTTAACAAGAACCCAGCTGAAAGAGCCCAATACCCCCTTAATTAAGGATTATGCCCTAAACTCTAAACTATATAGGGGCCTTCATATTATGATTCAACGTATCTTCCTTAACTCTTAGACTAATCGTTTAGAAAGATAGAAACCTTCATAGATCCCTCTAAGCAACTCTTTAAGGTATAGTCCTTAATTAGAAGTTCGCAGGCTCTTTTCGTTCCACCGCCTGAAGTTTACTCCGCGTGCGAACCTGTGCCACTGCAGCCCCGAAGGGCGGAAGCTACAGCAGAGGTAGCAGAAAGCCGGCCGGAAATGCATCGACCCCTGACTGCCAGAAAAAGACGCTTTGCGCCATGGGGGGGCGGGAGGGGAAGCAAAAAGACTTGCAGTCAGTCACTCGCGAGCTCACTTCTAAGTGTCAGAAGTTCGCAGGCTCTTTTCCTTCCACCGCCTGAAGTGTACTCCGCGTGCGAACCTGTGCCACTGCAGCCCCGAAGGGCGGAAGCTACAGCAGAGGTAGCAGAAAGCCGGCCGGAAATGCATCGACCCGTTCCCACCAAATCGCACGCGGTACAGCCTATGGCCAAAGGTACCACCAGCTAGAGCTGGGAATATTGCTATTCATCCACAACGAAGCCTGCTTTAGGATCCTCGGATATTGCTGGGCCATGAAAAGGACAGTTTCTCGGCAAGCGGGAGGGAGATCGGCCACATAAGTTGATGAGGCCACCTCCTGGAGGTAGATCTCCATAACTTTCATGGACACCCAGCGACCCCGTCGTCGTACAAGCTCCGAGTCTTCGGTTCGTTGTAAAATGTAGGTTGCTCCCCCAGGCCGAAAGGATCCTAGGTCAACCGATCGGGAATGATCAGACCTAGGGATCCCCAGGCGTGTCAGTACTGCATCCAGTCGTCTTCGAAGGGTTTGGTTTGTATGGGGCCAGAGCCTACAGTTCCTTGGGAGGTTGTGAAAAGCCATCGTAACGATAGATACGAGGTCGGCAGGTTCGAGCTTTCCCGATTGATGCTTTGCAGCACGGCCTCTCGTCTTCGGCTGGTCGATCTTGATCAGTATGTATTGCTGCATCCAGAGAGAATCGCTAGGGAAAACAAGATGTCCCCGAGTCGCCGACGTAGCCTCAAATATTCGGAGCAAAGCTCCCCAGGATAAAGAGAAGATGGCAGCTTCCCTCAGCCAGCCCCAAGCAAGGCAAACTCCCAGGATGGCCATCAGCAGGACTGGTGGTAAAGCGAGGTGGTGCGAGGCAGGCTCATCTGCGAGCCAGGTAAAAGCCAGGTCCCAAGCACCCTGGCAGGCCCGTCGCAACACAGGTTTTATCGCTGTTAGGGCGTTCATCGTCTCGGAGTAGTGCCAGTAAGGTCGCCCACTGTTGTAGAGATCCCTTCCAAAAGCAATAAGGTACTCGACGAAGCTCTCTGTCTCAAAAGGCTTCGCGTCAAGGAGACTTCCCAGAGTCCTGCCCGTTACTTCCAGAAGCCATTGCTCGAAGGAAGAAACCAAAACAACCCTCCTAGACGAAGTAGCAGCTTGGACCGGCCTTCCGAGGGGAAGAGAAGTGAGGCGGCGGCTCTGCCGAAAAAGGTCATCACGGTTTCGCGGGGTGATCATCCCGGCCGTGGAAGAAATCAAGAGGAGAAGCCCAAAGGTGAGGAAGGGAGCAGGCCCCTCCCCAGGAAAGCCAAGGGTCTGATCGAAACCCATGAAGAAGGGCGCGCTGTGGGAAGAAACCTCGGTGAGGGATAAAAACCTCGAGTCCGAGGGGAAGGCCCGAAGGGCCCCGACCAGGCAATCCAGCCTGTCAAGAGAGGCGGCGGAAAGTGCCAAGGCGAGCCGAACCCAGTTGGCTCTATGCCTAGTAAGTCCACCGAGTGAGCCGAGAAGACGTAAGGACTCTCGACTGAGGTCCCCAGTGAGAGGGTAGCCTGCGGGAAGGCGCAGCTCTTTGTTCCGAGTCGGATCGTCAGAGGCATTCCATCTTGTAGGGCCATAGGAGAGCCCTGGGTAGAGGCCTCCCGCTATGACGGTTACGCTTGCCCGACGGACCGGCTGCTTTAGCACGCGAGCGGAGGACCTTCCTTTGCAGTGCGCGCCAAGCACAACGGCAATATCAACTATCATGGCGCTGCGCCGGTCGCCACCCTCAACGGTGAGCGTCTTGTAGAGCGCAAGCACAGAGTCACTCTCTAGCACGTTAACATGCTTCTTAGCACTCCACGACCAAGACTGCAAGGCTTCCCAAGGCGATGTCAGGAGAGCGTCGTCGACAAGGATGGACTCAAGCCCGAGTGCGTGACCATCGCAGGGAGGAGGGCCGGAGGGCAGCAGTCTGGAGAAGAGGGCAGCGAGATTCTCCGTGAGGTGGCCGCCGCTTTCATATCGCCCGGTGCTAGAGTAAGCATGCTCGGGCGCATGGCCGGAGACAGAGGAAGCTCCAGGCCTTCCGAGGAACCTTTCAACCCAAGTCCAGGCAAAAAGGAAAGATCCAGAGGGCTGCAGCATGACGCAGGGGACACCGTATCGGCGGCACGCCTCAAGTAACACGAGAGCGCGGCATACCTGCGTGTTCTCTCTCCTGACCTTAGCGAGCTTAGGGTCAAAACCTTTAGGGAAGGAGTTGCTCCTGCAAGCTGACAGGAAAGCGCGGCTGAAGGAGCCCGCGGCCGGACGGAGAAGAACGCTCCTAAGTCTCCTCCTAGGCAGGAGGTGCAAGAGGACCTCGAGGGCATCGGGTTTGACAATGTCAAGCTCTGGACTGACATCAATTGAGAACCGAGGAGCTGGTCGAAGGCCCCTGGCCCTGATGGCAGAAGTCAGGCCGTCCTCCTTACCAAGAATCTCAACAAAGTCGTAACCGAGCCCAGTGTGGCGGGCAGACGCGGGAGTCTCGTGCTCCTGCGCTGCGCAATCAGACCCCTCACCTGCTTCATAGATGTTGGCGACGTGTTTCCCTTGATGCCGAATCGTGCTTTTACAACCGGCGGGACGAGGGTCGACGCCAAGAGGGACAGCCTCTTTCCCGACAAGGCCGGGGAGGCAGTGGCTTTCCCTAGCGCGCCGGTCCCTGATGAGACGGGGCTGTTGTGGCTTCTCCTTGGCGAGGAATGCCAGAGGGCTTCGGAAAGGTCAGACCCAACAAGCCCGGCAGACAGCACCTCTATCAAGGGAGGCGTCAGTGCAGTAGATATGGTCATCGTACGGCACGGCGACGTTGGTTGTGATCAAGGGTGCGCAGGCAGCCAACAGGGAGAGCTCACATGCAGCTTTCCTCGGAAGAGGGCGCAACCGGGACCCATGGAAACCAGGCTCCTTTGCTGCAAGGCCGAAGGCTGAATCGAGGAAACATCCGAAAGGCTTCCGGTACTGAACAAAAGAAACCCACCCCCCGAGCAGCGAGGAGGCAAGACCTTCAGACACTGCAGGCAGACACGCTGTCTTGAGGCTGACGTAAGAAAGAGCAAGCCTCTTCGCAACGGGCGATCCGATCAGCACGGCTCCCTTTTCGGCAAGGGGAAGCGAGGAATTCACTTCAGCGCCGGCAACGGCAAAACGGAGGCTTCCGAAGTTATCCTTATGGTCGGAGCCCTTCAAAGAGGCCTTGTCATAAGCTGCCTTGGCTGTTCGGATACATTTCGAGGCGGGGCTGTCTTGCAGTCTCCTCTGGAGTTCGGGGCCCGGCAAGCCGCTCAATGATGCAACCGGGAGCTGACACACAGAGAAGAAATCGTCAATGACCAAAGCCTGAGCACAATCCTCTAAAGGAGGAGGCCTGCCGGCGAGGAGCCGCTGGCCCGGGGCAAGCAAGGAGGCCTCGACAAGTAAACCCTCATGGGCGGCGATTGCATACTCAACGCCTCCATGGTCGCCTTGAAACAGGGAGGCAAAAGCTCCACAGACCAGGGGGTCGCCACCTGCTAGGCCGAAAGCACAGCGACCATTACGACCCAACATGCAATTTCCGTGGGAACCAAGCTTCTCGATACCTTCCTGAAGCATGCTGAGGTATAGGCGGAGGAAGAGCTCAGGGCAGAAAGGCGCATGGGAGGGCCGACAGCGTTCGACGACGCCCTGCTCTTGCTAACCTCTATCTGATGATAGTAGTCGCTGCGATCTGTGCTGGCACCGCACAAGACGTGGCCGACCCGAACGGAATAATAGGCTAAAAGGGAACCCTGGGGCAACTCGTTTGAAACTCCAAAAAGCCTGCCCTCTAGGGAGTTTGGGCCCCTTCTGTCGCCTATCATCCTATCGTGGTCAGCGCTCTTGAAGGCGCCGAATATTCGGCACAAAGCACGTGGAGCGCAGGGAGCAGGGACTATCGAGAGGAGTCCTAGGCTATCCCAGAGTGAGAAAACCCTAAGAAGCTCATCCCTATCCTCTCGGGAAGTATCGGGGAAGGGGGCGAGGGTCTCGGGTATGCCTTGCAGGACCCTCGGCTCAACAAAAGGCAACAGGAGCTCGGCGCCGAGGTAGGGCCGAATGTCCCAATGACCACGCCCTGTGATCAGCAAGCGGTCGGCCTGAGCATTGCTGTAGGGTCGGAGCACCTGTGCCCCGGAGTCGTCTGTTGGAACAAAGCCCCCGGACGGAACATCGGCTTGATAGGCCTCTCCGGAAATGCCACAGTGAAGCAGATAGGCCTGAAGCTCGTCGAGACGAGCGAGCACGTGCGTGCGACGGCGGCCGTTGGCCAGGGCAAATTCGCTGTGATCACAGCTACTCGCCTCAATAAGCAGACGCAACCTTTCAAAGACTTTGCTCTGGCATGCGTTGGGCTGCCTCCGAAGCACCTCCTGCGGTATTTCTCTCCCGTTGCTGTGCACAAAATTTAAGGCCATCACGGCAACGTGCACGCATCGATCAAGCAGGCGGCCAAGCAAACGGGCCTTCCTTTGGGCAGGGTAATGCTTCAGGCTTTCCTTAGCGAAGGCACCCGGATAGGGAACCGGCAAGGGAAAGAGGGCGGTGAGAGGAGGCGGCTCCCCCTCGTGGAAGATCACCGAAAACGACAGCCTCAGCATACGACTGAAGGCGGTCCGGGCCTTGAGCAGCAATCGCGGGAGAGCTGCGGCCCACTTAATAAAACTTAATTTCTCCAGGAAAACATCAGCACGCGAGGAAGATGTGCCGGTAACGTCCGGAGGTAGGCATGCAGTGTCTTTTGCTAGGCTGCAGAGCTGGCCTTCTTCGCGGCCCACAGCTTTGCGCGCAGCTGCTTTCGGGAGAGGCTCTCGCCCTGATCGGCCGATGCGTCGGCTTTGGGCTGAGGCTTTCCCGGACCCTTTGGTTTTGGGAGCTCTGCCCTCTTGAGGCTGAGGCTGTCCTGCTCCCGCACATAAGCAAGCGTAGTAGCTACGATCCTCTGATCGGCAAGCGGAGCAAAAGGACGGAGTGTGGTGGTAGGCGTCGCCGCCCTCTCCTGGAACAGCCCGTTCGGCGGGTCCGGCAGATGTGTCAGCAACCAGGCCAGGTCGGGTTGATGGTCGAGAGAGCATTGTTCCAGAAACAGCATCATCATTGCTATGGTGTCTGCTGCGCCTTTGGCCTCGTCCTTTGCTAAAAGATCCAGTGCTATGCCGCATTGCCACTGAGCTGGGCCCTGAACCCGATCTCGGGAGTAACCACCGAAACGCTCGAGGTACTGACACATGACCCCCTGATTGGACGGCAGGGCCTGGGCTGAAGAAGCAGGGGCGCGGGATGTCGGGTCCATCCTCCTCTGGGCGGCGAGCACGACCTTCTCGAAGAAGCTGCCGTCGCGAAGTGCGAGCTCGCTCTGGATCCTCATTCTCCCCGCCGTTCCCCGAGTCGAGAAGCCACTGCCCTGGCTCCCGGATTCCAACGGATCGGTTGACCCACCTGCGATCTGACCGACAAGGCTTGTGAGGGCTTTCGCCTGAAGTAGCATCGCCTGCAAGAGGGTCGCCGGCAACGGGCCGCAGCTCTTCTTGAGTAATACCAGGTAGGGCTTCCTCTGCATCCGGGGCTGGCGCGGCTGCCAAGGCAAGAGTCCTGACGGGGGGCGGAGGGCCCAGCACGTCGGAAAGCCGCTTTGGTTTCGGTGGCACGAAGGTCGGAAGGGCAGTGTAGAGAGGGTCCGCTAGACCCGGGCGACCCGTCAAAGGGGCCTGTGGAGGAGAGGCCTGGGCAGGCACTGCTTGCTGAACTTGCCTCTCGCTTAGGTTCTGCACCTGGTCCACCAAAGAAACAAGAAGCTCTTGCAGACTTGCGGCTTGAGCGGCCAGCCCGGCGAGTGTGGGCTTCTTTGTCTTCGCCTCGAGAGCCTTCGCTGCCTTTGCCTGCCTCGCCTGCACCTCGCCGCCTGCACCTGGGACAACTAAAGAAGGCGGGGCCTCCTCGGCGGTTACGAGCCACCTGCTCCTCGGTTCCCTGGTCTGTTCTTTACCCAGGCCATAGAAGCGGCCACGACCTCCACGGCCAGAGGATAGAGACTTGCGTCGTTCTGGTCGAAGGCAAGAAAGTCGACCAAGGCACTGGAGAGAGGGGTCAAGCATTCGGCCGCCCCCGATTCGAAATCGACGACCCTGGCCGAAACCTGCCGAGGCGGATACACCTGTGCCCATTCTCCGTTCTCTCCCAAAGAGATTCCCTTGCAGGAGACTTGCAGAGAAGGACCCAAAAGCCCAGGATGGTTTGCTGCTTCGGCTGCATCCAGAAACGCTTCGTCCAGGGCCGAAGCCGGCAAGGCAAGAAGGAAGCCACCCGGTCGCTTCAGCACACAGTAGCAAGCACAGGGGGAGGAAATGCATTCCTCGAGGGCAGGGTTCCCAGTAGGATCTAAAACGAGAAGTTCGATCCCTCCGGCCTCTGCAGGTAAAAGAGCCTCGGGATCCATCTGGATCACGGGCCGGGCAAGAAGTTCTGGATGCCTGCGGCGTCGAGGTAGACCCGACACTCAAGTTCGGAAGCAAAGGCTTGTGACAAAGTGCACCTCTGTCTCAAGTGGTCAACTGCAACAAAGTAGTCGCGCTGGGAGGAATAGATCTCAGGAGGAGACCCGTTTGCAGATCGGGCGACCGCATAAAAACGCTTTTGCAAAGAGATGCGTGGAGTCGGCCGGGGCGTCTGAGCCCTGCCTTCAAGCACTTCCTTGACCCAACAACCAGCAACCCAAGCACGCCTTACCCTGGCCTCTCCGGAGAGACCTGCAGCCCGAAGGGCCCGCGAAGCAGAAATCCAAGCAGAGGGGATCTCAGGAAAAGAGGCCTCAACAAGGTCAAAATCCAAGAACCCCCGTGAAGAATGGGCAGAAGGAGCAGTCGAAGAAGAAGCACGGGCAGGGGTTCGGGAGCTTATAGGTCCAGACCACTACTCTTAGGGTAGGGCGTCGAGCCGACTCCAGGCTCGGGTTGCTGGGGTTCGGGACTACTGGGTCCTAGGTCCGAAACCGCACGGGTGCGAGTGATTGATATGGTCAGCCCAGCGAGCTGAAGGGATATCTGGGTGATATCGCACTCGTCACTGTTCATACAAAGCTAGCCGGCGGCTAGCAGCAGAAGTTGTTGGCCTCGAGGGAGGAGTTGGAGAAGGCCGGTGGACCGGGCGAAAAGGGATGAAAAAACAGAAGACCAAGCCGGCACCGGTAAGGAAGCCAAGGAGGAAGGTGAGGATCAGAGAAGGCAGATCAAGCTGAACGCAATAGACAGGGCAGCGATAGCCCCAAAAACCTGAACTCAAACCCTCCAAGGCAAACCACAACCACTGAACTCCCGGGGGGCCCATCAGCTGAAGCAAAAAGACTTGCAGTCAGTCACTCGCGAGCTCACTTCTAAGTGTCAAGGGGTATTGGATTTTCTGGGAACCCTACACCCTATAGATCCCATATAGGAACCCTTAAAGGAACCCTTCTAGATCTTAAAGGAACCCTTTTAGGAACCCTCGTAGATCCCTTTAAAGGAACCCTAGGGTTCTCTGGAGGGTTCAGAGTCATTTCAGACCCCCCAACAGGCGCCTGCACACGCGTCATGTCGACGATCTCACGCACGAAGCCTCTCGGATGGGCTCGATATCTTGCTTAGAGGATCGTTTTGGCTTAGTACGTAGGGGGTTATCAGGGTCCCTTTAAGATCCGTCGGGGTTCTACAAGGGTTTAGGGTTTGGGCGTTGGGACGTCAAGGGTTAGAGTTGGGGGTTCACGGTTCTGGACATAGGTTTAGGTGTCAGGGTTAAGGAGCAAGCATAGGCTAACCCCACACCTCATACCCTATACTCCCCTCTACACTTTTACCTCATTTCTCGAACCGCCTAACATTTCAACCCTTAAATCCCTCAAAACACAAAGCACCTCCTAACAATCAATACAACAATCCCGAAACAAAGCAACCTACCAACAAATACAACAATCCATAACACTATCCAAAACCCAAAGCACCTAAACAAACCCTACCCTCAACCATAAAATAACCCATATCCTAATATGAGGTGTGGGGTAAGACCCTAATAGAAAAAATCCCCATAAGACAATAACCCTGAACTGGGAAATGTCCCTTACATAGAATAATATACTAACAAAATTGATTGTTAGTATATTATGTTAAGAAGTCATCAATATTATTGAGATAGTCTGTGTCATTTCTTATTGGTGTTCGCTTCTTATATTCTACTGTGGATAAGTAAGGATATCTGGCATCCATAAATCTTTCAAAAGAATAATCATCTTCAAAATGTGCTTCCGCTATTCGTTTATTAATCCATACATTGGTTTCATTTGAATACAATTTGTATTTTAATTTTCCTAATGCTTCATAGCTGTATATATGTTGTAAAGTTATATAAATTACACTTTCAACTTTATTCATTTCTCTTCCAAGATGGTTAACAAATTTAATCTTTGTATTGTTATTTTTATCTACAGTTTTGCCATGTTCATAAATTATTCTGTTTCGTTGTTTGCTGTAAAATCTTTTAATTTTCTCATCAAATTTAAATGAAGTATCGTATAATGATTTAATCTCATTGTAGAATTCATTATTATAAAACTTGTCTTCGTCTTTCAATAACTTTTTCAACACTCGTAATGTCTTTTCATATGTAGGAAATGGATTTAATTTAACATAATAATATATTTGGGTGTTTAATTTGGTTGGTTCATATTCTTCTATATTGAGTTTGTTTTCAACTGCTTCAACTACATCTTCAAATTGTTTCATACTACAATCATAAACATTGTTCTTAAACTCTTTTAAAGTTTTACATACCTCACATTTCTTCATAATTGTATTTACAAATATTTTTAACAATATTTTCAGGCATATTCAGTTTATATAAACACATATTCTGTTGGTTAAATTTACACTTTTTGCACATACTCACCTTATCTTTAATACTTGTTTTCATTTCAATAATGTTCAAGAATTTACTAATGATTTATATAATTATTATACTAAATATTTCTTTAAATGGGTTTTGCAAAATACAGAATTAATTTAGTATGCTCTCTCTTGGTTGTCAAACCTAATCTCGTAATATTCTAATGTCTCCTTCTTTGGAAACTTAATATCTTTGTTGTTGAGTTTCTTAACATATACACTTCTTTTATTCTTATAAACATCACTATCTTTATCCATTTGTTTTTTAAATTGTTTAGGCTTCTCTTCATTAAGTTTATTAACTGCTTCTTCAATATCATCTACATCACTCATCTTGCTATATTGCGTTTAAATATGTAGTTAAAGACTACATTTTACCATGTGCTACTTTGTATTTGTTCATATTGTCTAAACATCTCCTACATAATTTATTGTATTCTATGTTTTTGTTCCTACTCTTGAAGTAATGATGATTTCTACATATCTTACAACTCGGACAATACGGTATGTCATCTAAATTACATTCACAATGGCATTTATCATAAACATAAAACGATACAAGGATTTCATCTACACATCTGACCATATATTTAATTGATTTTATAATAAAATTATAAAGCCAATTCCTTAATGCTTTAACGAAACTAATTAAGCACCTGCTTATGAGATGCTATTGAATGTTCCAGCGTTACTTCCCTTTCATTCGACCATCCAATGTGAAACGAAAGGAGCTGGGGTCTATCTTCCAAACGGCATACTCGCCCTGTCATCATTAAATACACTTTTATTCTTAAATATCAATCCATCATATTTAGATTAGTTTTCAACATGTTAATATCTTTTTTAACCTCTCTCATATCTTCTCTTAATTCTTCTAACTGCTCTTCTGTCTCTTCTGGCGCAATTTGTTTTCCTGTTCTTCCAAAACCTGTATCGCATATAGATATGTCCCCCAATTGCGTGTTGTCGTTTGTGTTTTTGAAGGTTTCATCTGACGGAGTAATTCCCCTGCGTTTTCCCATTGAAAAGGATGACCTGTCTTCAACAAGTGTTATAACTTCTTTGTTTTCATCTTTGGTATGCTTTGTTTCTTTATGATATAAATGTTTTCTACATCTACTAGGGAGACAATCAAGACTGGTAGGTGTTAATGAAAATCCACCATCTTTTTCATTCTTATCATCCATTTACATTAATGAGATTTTGATTTAAAATGTTGAATAACTGCTTTCATCACCTCTAACATACTATAACAACATCTACGGTATTTAGGAGGTGTTATTATTTGTTCTATCTTCTCTATCTCGTCTATAACTTCTAAATAGTCGTCATAATCGCTCATATATTAATAACGATATAATTTTTCTATGTATTAATAATAATGTCGGATATACCAGTTGTAAAACCAGTGAATGTTAAAGAATAGGACTTTAAACAGTCTAAATATGAAGTAGCACCTAAATTACCTTTTTCGCAAATAATAACAGGTCCGAGTGGTTCAGGAAAAGGCATATTACTACAATCTATGATATTAGATATTTACAGAGGCGTCTTTGAAAGGATATATATTTGGCCTCCTTCAATCTCAGTTGATAGTAATTGGACACCGGTTAAAAAATACATTCAAGACGAGTTGAAGGTTGATTTAGAAAAGGAAAAGTGTATATTTGATGAGTATATACCAGAAGAATTAGACAATGTTATTAAAAGACAACATAAAGTAATAGAATACCAGAAGAAGAACGACCATAAAAAACTGCTTTCTATTCTTATTATCGTTGATGACTTCGCCGACAGTAAAGCTTTTTCAAGAAACTCACCTTTGTTAAATCAGTTGTATGTTAGGGGAAGACATAATGCAATTAATATCATAACAGCAACGCAAAAGTTTAATGCTTTAAGTCCTATCATCCGTGTAAATAGTCGTCAGTTATTCTTTTTCAGGTTAAGGAATTATAAAGAGATAGAGACAATGGTAGAAGAGTTAAGCGCGGTATTGATTAAGAAATCAAGCGTAGCAGATACTAAAAACCTCGCGGAAGCAAAGAAACTGATGTTAGAAGTTTATAACATAGCAACAGAAGAACCATACGGTTTTTTGTTTATTAATCTAATGAAAGGCGATGTAAATGATATGCTTTACAAAAGATTTGATGCTAAATTAGTTATTGATTAGAAAACTTTAATCATAATAATTTATGATTAAATTTTGTTAAATCAGTGAATAACTACATAAGTTTATGGCAGGAAGTTTATATACTAATTTATTGTTTTTTGTTTCTTCTAACTTTTCAATGCGGTTAATACATTCCTTTATACTATTAAATAATAAAACATCTGTTTTAGTTTTTTCGTTAATATCTAATTCTTTTATCTGTTTCATATAGTCAGTATCAGTAGGTTTAGATGATTTAGAACCCATCGTATATTACAACTTATATATTATTTTCCGTCCCCTTTACCCTTGCCTTTCAACTTTGTTATTTCAGCTTTCAGCTCTAATAAGGAAGTTTCAGAAGTCGTCTGCAACTTCTTCAACTTCGTTATTTCTCCTTGCATTGTTACAAATTCTTTTTTCATTGATTTAACCATTTCTAATAACTCGTCTTTCTCTTTAATAACTTCTTTGACTGCGCCCCATAAAACAATTGTCATTTTATTATATGCTAATAATTTCATACCGTCATCATTATGGAATATTATATTGTCCCATTCTTTCCGTATTTTAGCATCTTTTACATCATCCGCTATAAATCCCAAATTACTTTTCTTTTTTTCGTCGTTAATAATATTATATGTTTTCGGTTGTATATATTTAACTACTTTATAACAATCTTTATTATTGACTTCTTTTATATTCTCTTTCAACTTACTATTTGATGTTTCTATTAACGCCGTGCATGTTAAAGTTCCATTTATGTCTGCGTTATTCGTTGTTGTAAAGAACCCATAAACATCAACTCCTGTATTAGTAGCGTCTAACCTTGATAAATTGTTATTACTTAATCTAATAAAACCGTCACTGTCTGGATTGTTTATTAATACGCGCTGTGAGCCAGCAACATCACTATGTGTAATTTCTACATTTCCTAATAAATTAACTTTACCATCATCTATTTGTAGTTCTGGTGTTGTTCCAAGTGCTCCAACTCTAAATATTAAGCTTCTATCTGTGTCTCCATTCCATATTAATAAATCATAATCAGTTCCATTCAAAACTTCATGTATTGCCGATGAATGTTGAAATAATAACTGTCCTTTTAAGAAAAAATCTTGGTCGCATGTTAAATCTCCTTCTGTTCTTATATTACCTATTGAATAAAAAGATTGGTTATTAACAACTGCTCTATTAATAGTAATTCCGTTAGTGTCATTTAATTGTAATGCTATTGTTGCCGTTGTAGGGTCTGTTGTTCTATCCGATTGTAATGAAAAATTAATTTCTTCTGTTGATATTACATTTAATGATTTACTGGCATCCGCTCATTGAAATATTCTTGCATCAGTGTTTAACAGTTGTTCTCCTAATACTTCTAAACCGTTTTCTACTCTTGCTTCGTTAAAATTACTTATACCACCCACTGTTAAGAAATAAGATGAATTGTATTGACGACCTATACCGACTTGTGCCATTGTTTGACTTCCTATTCTTAATCTATAATCTCCGCCTGTATCGTGTAA